TTGTGCAACAAAGACAATGATAACTGTTTTTAATAGCACTTCTTTTAATCTGCAATGATAACTTAACTTAGCTTAAACTCAGCACATATCACTGTTAAATTTTTGGTGGCTGTATATTACCACTGAAAGAAAAACATTACTTTACTCAGTAAAAGTCATAAAACTGTGAGAGAAGCAGAAGCAGTCCTACCTTGTAGGATTGAATGGTGTGTTGATGGATCCGTTTAACATTGCTGTGACATCACCACAGGCAACATCTGCAAACTATACAGACACACAAAGGGGATTTTGAAGAAACACTCAGTCATCTTGTAAATAAAACTAAAAAGTAACACACTATTTTGTCCCAAATTTAGACTTGGGTATTTGTGTCTTCCTGTAAAGTGAGGTTTATTACTATTGATGTGATGATGGAACATTGGACATATCTAAAGTCCCTTACTCAGAGAAATGACTGCACTTCTTACTCCACAGATCGATATTATGTCAACATCATTATATTCATAACAGGAAGTATGAGGCAGCAACATATCACTGAGGTTTTACCATTATGATGCAATGTTTTATTTAAAATTATTTTACTGTCCAAATGTTGCAATAATTTCACAGATGTCATTTTTTAACGCGACTGTGGTCGTTTTCCCAGTTTTTCCATTTCTTGTAGTTCACCTTTAAGTTCGCCCAGGCTTTACTGGTCTGTACATTTTGTTAACAAACAACAAAATGAACAGCAAAAGATCAAAACAAGTTATACTGCTTTTTAAAGATTTGCTAAGATTATCACACACCCAAAAAACGGTATGTTTAGGAGCCAAACGTAACAAATTCCAAGCATAACATGACAAGCCCTCGCTAGCCTTGGGAGAGGTCACTGTTTAGTTGCGGTGTAATCCAGGAAAAAACAGCATTTCATTCATAAAAATTCATTGCTAATGAATTTTTTCACTCAACTTTATCTTTTCCTTATTTTATGGTATTTATGTGCCCTTTGAATTAATGCGAAAGCTACTTTATTTAAAGCTATGTGGTACTTGCATTTGCATAATGCATCCCTATTATTAAAGCATCTACTTGAGCAATTCTGGATCAATTTCATAATGTTTTTTTTACATTAAACTGAAATTCCTACTACAATTACACACAGTACAAATCTTGATTCTGTTTTTCTGGGACTGCTGCACAAGTCACTGAACTGGAAAAAAATATAAATCAAAGAATATTTGTGTGTTTGTTTGCTTTTTTTTTGGACTGTTTGGAAAAGTTAGATGTTGCACAACAGAATGAGACGTTGCAAAACAGAGTAAAACCCAAACTCAACCAAAGCAGGGCTCCTATGAATGTGTGGGCTGCTGCTCACTCAGGAGAGCGCTCCATGGAGACCAACACAAAGCCTCATTGACAGACAACGAGACAGCGTGAACATTTCTTTTCTCCATCACCATCACTTATACTCAGGAGGGATTTGCTGCACTGTGCAGTGCACTTGTGTGTTATGTTAACCAATGCACGACCTCAGGACTATGCCATTTAAAATAGAGAAAGAAAATGTAGTTAATTCATGTTGAAAACTTACAGCAGCAGAGGCACAAATCCAAAACGAGCGAACAGGGTTGTTTTCACACTCTGACCATCCGGGACACCCACTAGTGAAGGTATCTATGACAACAACATGCATATTTGCTTGGGTTAACTCCTCAAAATAAAACACAACAAAGGAAAGAAATCTCACAACATTACATAACGACACAGGACAGAAAAGAAAAAGAAAAAGTTAAGGCACATTTATGTTAGCTGTCCACCCTCAGCTGCTTAGACAGAGTGTTGACTCAAAATCTTCTCTGAGTAGCTCCAATGTAAATCACTTCTATAGTATGTTTGAATCAATTACTAAAGAATCAAACCTGAACATGCTGGTTTATTCAAAGCAATTTTTGCGTAATCGATTATTTCCAAAACTAGGAACAAAGTGAAACCTTTCACACCTCATAGGGAACACACCCCTGATGAGTAAGCTTATGGAGACATGTTTTAACAGAAACATAATTTCTATCTCGAAGATAAACTTATT